ACATATATGTGATCATAAGTGGGCGGTGCCACGCCCATTTTCCAAAACTTTATCATAAACGTATTTCTTGGTAAAGAATTATTGCAAGCATAAATTTTGAATAAATTAGCTTTAATATTTACTGATTTATCGAGGATTTTGTATTTCTCTAAACCACCGTTATATGGGATGTGGGCGTGGTTATCGTCCGATTTTAAAAATTTTCGGCGATTTTTTATGCTGTACCAAGGCCAATAACTGTGCCAAGTTTGGAAGAAATTAGTGCAGCCGTTACCGAGATATACACATGTAACCATAAGTGGGCGTGGCTACGCCCATTTTCCAAAAATCTATAATATTCTTATTTTTCGTCTAAAATTTATTTTAAATATCAATTTTGAGTGAATAGTCTTCAGTAGTTACGAAAATATTGCAGTTTTCGTATTTCTGGAAATTACCGTTATATGGGAAGGGGCGTGGTTACAGTCCGATTTCGCCCATTTTCAATACCAACCTACCTTGGATTAAGGGAAACCTACATACCAAATTTCGTTGAGATATCTCAATTTTTGCTCGAGTTATCGTGTACACGGACGGACGGACAGACGGACAGACGGACGGACAGATTCTTTCGATTTCTTTTTTCATCCTGATCATTTATGTATACATTTGTCTATATCTATCTCGATTCGTTTTGGCTGTTACAAACAACCGTTATGTGAACAAAATTAATATACCCTTGTGCACAAGTGCGCTCGGGTATAAATATCAGGATTTGTGTGAACTGGACCGATTTGAATATATGTATGTACCTCAAAAAAATCTCCATATTTTAATTTCGTTGAGAAAATTTTTAAACAATTTTATGCAGGTTTTCCCAGCTAAAAGAATTGGAAAAAATTTATTAAAAATAAATTTATAATTTTATTAAAAAAATACTCGATTTTCGGACCTATTTGTAGATCGGTCCAGTGCAAGTCTTAAAATATTATAGATTTTATAGTTCCAGTGGAAAAACAGTACCTATCGTCATTTTTTGTATGGACAGTGATGCACCCTAATATACATACACATTTTTGTTTGAACGATCTTAAAAAATTTTAAAATTAGCTACACCTCCTTGAGCCACCTCTCTTTGGCTAATAAAAGTTGACTGAAGGGGAGTGCCCGCCCAAAGGAGGTTTTGCTGTATACGCAACTTTCATAATTTACAATTCTATAATTTCTTTGACACAATGAAGACAACTTTATTTTAATTACATCTTTTCATACAGATTCCTCCCACTTGAAGATGCAGAAACTCAAAGAATGTCACTACCTTTGCATTGAACGAGCACACAATTTTCTCATTTTGCATACTTTTCACATCACACCGTCACACCCACTTGACCTCAACTTACCGGTTATTTTTCTCGATGAGATTCAAAGCACAATCATCGCGTTCCATTTCGAATAGTCCGCACGTTCAAGTATCACGAAAACTGCACTTCACAAAAAAACCAAAAAAAAAAAAAACGCGCACTTTAAACAAATGTCTTAGACGTTGCGATTATGAATTGAAAAAAAAATAATAAAAATTAAATTGCAACTTGCAAGAGTATTTGGCAAAGTCTCGCTTGGGAGGGGTCAATAACTCAGACGAAGAACAAAATGTACATATGTATGTACGAGTAACATACAAAGATGCCAATGGGCCCCACAGCGAACACGACGACGACGAGCAAGGTCTTTGCTGGCGCGGGCAAACAGCAGTGAAAAATGCGCTTGTTAGTTCAGAGAAAAGCGCACACGAGCACCAATGCACCTACATACATATGTGAGCTTGCACTGTGTATGTAAATGAATGCAATTTGCACAACCCGTGGAGCAGCGGTGTGCAGTGCGAAGAAAAATTGTAAGTAAAACTTGTTTGTTAGCTAAATGTGCAACTTATCGTATGCGGTCATGCAACAAGTGGCAAGTACCGTCCGTCGCTTTGATAGTTAGCAAAACAGGCTATGGTGAGAAATACTCGTATGTAGGTGAAACAAGTTGGAAAACTAATTTCTTATATGGCTAATTATTACGTAGTGTATTTTTCACATTTTTCTTTTGTATTTATTTAGCGTAGCGCGGAATGTACAACTCGTTTTATTTCTATATTTTTAATGTAATCATATATACATAAAAGCACGAAAAAAACGCGAAAAATGTACGCTGAAAAACTATTGGCTTAGCGCACCGCACCAACTCGGGAAACTGACGCCGACCGACTGAAATTGCAATTCGGTGGAAATCGTGCAATGAGCGCAAGTCTGCACATTGCACTTTCCTCTGACAATGGCCGACACTAGTATGTCGGTGTTTGCGGCATTTCGAGTAAACTTTTGTTGGATTACGATAGAAGCTTAGTTGGAAAATTTTAAAAGTGAATACAGAGAAGTGAGATAAAATGGAAGTGGGGCGATTTGGAATGGCAGAAAAGTCAACAAACAAAAAAATTCACCTTGGGTTAGCCCATGTCAAATCGACAAATGGTTGGAATCGACCATTTTTGATTTGGATTAATTTTCTGTAAAATGGGTCTAGCTGATCTTAAAATATTCTGAAATTTTTTAGGTTGAACAAATATCCAATTTTGTGCTCTGGAGCAATACAAATTGAGTTTAAGACTTAATAAGTTAAGATTGGGTTGGTATCGAAATTCTGGTACTACAAAATTCGGAACACGACATTCTGCTTTTCAAAATACTGAATTAGAAAATTCTGTTTTAAAATATAATGTAACCAACGTTAAAGAGGGCATGCCTTTACTTTGAAAGTGCGCACTTTTTCAAAGTATTGACATGTCCTATTTAGCATTGTTTACATTAGATTTTAATGTAGAATTTTGATTTTCCGTATTCTCCTGAGCTTCGGTCAGCATGCATGGAGAACAGAAACATTTTCTAGAACGTAAGACAGTGGCGAAAGGTATCATCGCTGGCTAAAAGTTGTTGTTGGAGGAAGCAATTCAGCAAAAGATTTTCAAGCCGCTTAGAACGTATTTCCTAAATGTAGATTTAAGACAAAGGGCCTGTGCCAATTGATAGAAAAGATGAAATTTTGACGGATGAACCCAAAAATCTAACATTTCTTCTTCTCCTAAATATATATGTGTGTATATACATATATACACATTATATGGTTTGGCGGTAATAAAGAGTCAAAATCAAAATGAAAGCAGAAAAAATCATAAAAAAGGCGTAACGTGCGCAAGTTATGAAATAGATATAAATTTTTACCATTTCGGCAAAACACAAAAATAGGGCTTTCGCACGAGCGTTTGTTTGGTTTTTCAACTGTTAAAATTTTACTTTGCATTTGGCACAGCAAAATTCAATTTATTCGTACACATTACTAAATTTTTCCAACCCGTTTCAGCACGGAGAAAAAAGTTACCGAGTGGCACACAGCCAAAGATGCGAGTATGGTAAATTTTGTCTGATTTTATCTACCACAAAAGCAGAATTTTGAAAGACGCAAGTGCGACAAGTAGAATTTTGTGAGACAGAATTTCAAAATACAGAACTTTCAAAAGCAGAATTTCGTCAAAAAAGAATTAAAAAAAATACAGAATTTCGATCGAACAGAATTTTTTAAAATTTTGCAGAATTTCGCGATGTAGAATTTTGCAATGCAGCTTAATGAGACGCTCCCGCTAAGATTAATAACAATTCAAATTGTGTTTTTTCTTCCATTGGTCGGGTTGACCCATTTGTATTTGACTATTTATTTGGGTTAAACTCAAGCAGATAAATAAAATGATAATATATGCACATTAGCGTGGTAAAAAAAATCCGAGTTAGGGTTTGGGGTACCTTCCAAAATGGTTCCTCTTGCCGAAAGAGCTGCTGGTGCCAAACTTTACTTTTCTAAGTATAAATTTAGAGGATACTCATGATGCTCATATTTTACTCTAGAATTATTGCGTGTATATATATTAATCAAACAATTGGTTAAGCAACCTAAGAACATTTCAAATTTAAATTATCTAAAAAAATATCACAAGCCTCAGTTGTCATGGCAACAGTAGCTTTTTATAAAAATCATCAATATTTTTAAAGAAATCCCGGCTTTTTTGGCTTTAAATTTAAATAATTATAATTTGGCAACATTTTTCGAAAACTGCCAAATTCAATTTTTTTTTTAATAAAATCACAAGTTAAAAAGGCAGCCTTTGGACCCCTAAAAAACTCAGATTTGTTTAAATCTAAGTTTTTAGCCGAAATTTGGCCAGAAAACAGACATAGGGACCATAAATAGTTATCTTCTCCAACATCAGATTAAAAAAATCGCGTGAAAGGGAGTCGCCCTGTGTGAAACCCCGTTTGCTAGGAAACGGCTCGAAGAGGTCTTTCCCAATTCTAACGGAGGTGGTGGCATTGCTAAACATCATATTACACAGCCATATGAGTTTTGAGGGGATGCCAAATTCAGACATCGCGGCGTATAGGCAACTCCTTTTAGCGCTATCGCCAGCAGCTTTGAAGTAGACCAATAGCACAAATTTAAACAAAAATTTTTAGATTGTAGTTATATAAATATATATATATATATCGCTGAGAATGAAGCGTACGTGCACATGTATTGATATTACCTGCAGTACTGCTGGAGTCAATCGCTACTTTTGAACCGCTACTGCACCGACTCTTAGGTAGGTAGCTACTCTATTAGCCCGTGGTAGTGCACATGGTAGTGCAGAGTGGAACCAGTCGGAAGCAGAATAGCGAAAAACTATGACAGAGGGCGCCCATAAATCACGCAAGTGACTACTTTAGTAACTCCCGGCAGTGCAGAGAGAGCCGATGGTGACTACCGCCTAGGACATTGCCTTGTAAAAGTAATCGATGAAATACACTGCATGTAGTCGGTCGGTAATTGACGGAGTTTACTAGGTAGCTACCGGTTCATCAGTCCTGTAGTCGCTCCCCGGTACTGCAGGGTAATTACATACATACATTCTCATTTGTTGCCGACCAACAGACTAGTCTATGTAGTCCATAAGTTGTTAGTTTAAATGGTTGCAACTCCTGAATAAATTTTTATAAAAACTGCACTTTATCGGTATAACATTTATACATACATATGTATAAATAGATATACTGTTTTATTTCAGATGACAACATTATTTATACAACTTAACCTAAATTTTTACGCTAATGTGTCGATTATGCGTCAATTCAGTGCAAACAAACAAAACGTTTGTGCATTGAAATTTATAGTTTTCCATTTCATGGCATTGGCTATGGTCGCTTTGCCTGTTTTTCGTGCCAAAACTAATTACGGCTAAATAACTAAATAACTAGATGATTTAAACAAATCTGAGTTTTTAGGGGTCCAAAGGCTCACTTTTTAACTTGTGATTTTATTAAAAAAAATTTGATTGTAGATAGTTTTTTTATAGTTATGTATATACATGATAAAAAAATAGGAAGGTAGAACCGCTGAGAGGAATTTTTCAAATTCTTGACATTTGCAAGCAATTTAATTTTAAAAATTTACACACAAACTCAAACACACATTCTCATTTTCAATCTCAAACAACAACAACTTTGAACAATTCCTTTTTTTACTCTCAATTTTATATGATTTTAAAATGTTGGCAAACTTCAAAAAAAAAAAAATCATGGCCGATGAATTGAGAGAACGGTTTTACCTTACTATATTTTTATAATGATTATATACACCATTTATACAGTGGCAGTTTTTGAAAAATGTTGCCAAATTATGCTTATTTCAATTTAAAGCCTGAAAAGCCGGAATTTCTTAATTTTCCTACTAAAAAGATAAAAATACCAACATTTGCAGCAACAAAATTGTAAACAGCCTTTTGTTTCCTATCTTTGTTGATGTCTCCTCCCCAAACGGTAAATAGTTATTTACTGACGGTGTCTTAGCCACACCTAGCCAAAATTTCATAGGCTTATGAAAAATTAACATTTAAGAGAATTGTACCAAAGAAAAATTATATATTAACCCCATAATAAATCGTAATATCTCGTTACCACACATCTTTAATACCTACTCACTCGCAGCTTTCCTCTCAGTACCAGCTTTTTTAAGAATGTTTTCTAATATTTTATAAGAGCAATTAAAATTTACACTTTATTTGTATCTCAAACTTAATCGAAACTTCAATTGTACAAAATATAAGTAGAATTTTACAACTATATTACTATATTATGATTTTGTACAAAAACAAAGTTACCTTTGCTATGTTTTAAGTTATTATGTAAAATATGGCATCAAAAAAGTATAAATTAGCTTTGGCCGCAAAAACGGGCATTGGGACCAGTAGTAGTGGGTAACTCAGCACTGTGCTGAGTTACTGTGCTGACTCTTAGAACTGTGCCGCACGCTCAGACTCACCTCTGAAAAAATTTGTAACTCAGTAACTCAGTTTATGTGCTGACAATGTATAGCTCA